CGGCCCGCGCCGAGCAACGAGCGGAACAGCAAGCTGCACGACACGAGGAACGGCTCACCGAATTGCATTCCGTCATCGCCGAGCTCGGCAGACAGCTGGAACGGCATCGCGCTACCGTAATTGCCGAGGAGGACGAGTCCGGTAAGGGTCCACCCCGCTTCGATTATACGATGCACGCAGGAAAATATCGCGATTCCGCGTACCGATTTCGCTCAATGGAGAACGAGAGAGAAACAGAATCTTGGCGAACCTTCGAGTAACGACAGCCACGGCAATTCCCCGGCGGGCAATCAGCGGATCTCCCCAGACTCCGACTATAACAATAGTAATAGCTCTCTCGGTGGCGCGCGCTCTCGATTTCTGCTCTCGGTCCCCCTTTTCGATATCGAGAAGAAAAGCGATCTCGTAGGGATTCGCGAGTCACGACGCACATGGTGTTACACGCACTGTCGCGAAGGATGATCGATGAATAACCGGGATCGATGGAATAGATGGTTTCTCCGAATCGTAATTGTTAAGCGAAATACCAAGTAAGTATTAATCGTTGGTGGTCGCGGTCTGAGGAGATCGTTTTGATGATGTGCAGAAGTCGAGACAAGCAGGGACGCCGAGGGTTCCATCACCAACCCAGTAGAGGAGAGTGAGGGCGGCGGGGACATCCAGGGAGATGGCGATCGCACTCTGGGGGATGCTGACTCTAGCTGCTGCGAGGACGAAAATCGACCGACAGAAGTAAAGAAAAAATCCTAAAAATCTTTTAAAATTTCAATTTTGAACGGGGAGAAAATAGTATTATGACAGTGTAGGTAGCATAATGGTCCCTCTTTGAATCTTCGCTAATTCTAAAAACTGTTTAAATCTATGTTTTATACAAAAGTTTTTATCAAAAAAAATTCTTTAAATAGTTATTCTAAAATAAAATTATTTACGTGAATAAATAGAGGTAATTTGATTGTAAAACGTTTGTATAAAACATTTTTTTATATTTCGAATAGTGTATTCGAGATATAACAAAAAGCCTAAAACCGCTTTACACGTAAAAGAAGTGATTTCACCATTTTAAATCGTTTTTCTGCTGCAACTGATATTTTCTATTTACCTTTTTTTACGTATTTTATATATAAATATATACACAAAGTTTCATTAAAATTAAAATTTTACTCACCAAATTTTTTTTTATAACGTTCTCTCCGTATATATTTGTACCAATCATCTTTCAGTATAATTTCTACATTTTTAAAAACGCATTATTATTTTCAATGTAGAATGGTAGGGATAGTCCGGCCGCGTTGCCGACTCCTGAACCAACACAACAAGCGGTATCGTGCCAGAGCGTCGCCGTCGCGACGCTGCAAGAGGAGATCACGGCGTTACGGGCAGAGATCACGAGCTTGCAGGCACAACTGGTTCATTTTAAGAGTCAGAGCAGCAATCAGAGGCAAACGACGAGCAGCGATTCACCGCGTCGAGAACTCCGAGTGAGCAGCAATTCTCAGAAAAATCGGTCTTTCTTGGAAAACCAAGTTTATATTTAAAAATTAATATTAATAAAGAGAAATTGAAAGGACAAGAACTGAGATCGACAAACAAAGAGATGTTAATAAAATGCAATAACTCTCCATTTAACGTCTCTCTTCTTGTTCTTTCATGTCTCGCCTCTTCTCTCTGCAGACAAGGGGCAACACCAGCTCGCCGGAACCTTTGACAGCACCGTGCTCGCCGCTTTTGCCACCGCTACAGACACCTCCAACAAAGAGCATGACGAGGGAGGAACTGCCAGTCCTCAAGATGGCAGAGAGGGTGAGACTGAGGAGGACGGACGAGAGACACATTACCGGTCCGGACATCACTAATCTTGGGGTACGAATTTTATTTGTAGAGAATATTAAATACATATAAGAATATGTAAAATATTGTAAAATTTGTACATATATATTGTCCCTTTAAAAAATGACAACTAAAAACGATTTGAGCTATTTAATTTTTAAGGATTGCAGAACGAGAATGACAAAAACGACATTTTATATGTTAAGACATATTTTTATTGCCGATATTATTTAATCGGTCAATTTTTTAGTTGAAGAATAGTTTTCCCCTTTTCTGAAAAACTTAATTTTTTATGTTGTGTAATTTTCGCAATAAGGCAGCAATATGTATTGTTTTTTTTAATTTTGCAATAAATACATAGTCCTATTCCAACGTTTCTTAGGTGTGCTCCACAATGGTAGCCGAACATCTCGTGTCAGATCTCCTAGAGCAATCGAACCTGCAGGAGCTGAACGGTTCTGAGAAGCAGTTTGAAGTCGAGACGGAGCGATTGAACAGCAGACTCGAGCACGCGCGGGCGAACAATGCAGTCCTTGCGCTCACGTTGCATGAGAGCAAAGCACAATGCGACAGGTACGTTTCTCAAACGTGCACAAAATGCACAGTGATTCCAAATCCTGAAAAGCTGGTCAAAATATGAAAGTTGTTCAATTTGTATGAAATTTGATATTTAGGGGTTTTTAGAATCGCTGATTATGAATTCGGGGTCAAAATTGCAAAAAAAAAAAAACCAGAAGAGCCGACACACAGGATTTTAGTGTGTAAGAGAAATTTATCAGAATGTTAAAAGAATAATAGTAAACGTTTCGACCTTGCGTTTTTTTAAATCATCATAAATACAATTTTAATTTTAACAGTTTAAAATGTCAAATACTAAATTATATTAAAATCAAATTTAAATATACAAAGCGTATTTTTTATGTGTGAAATAATGTGATAAATACAATAATGAGAATATACTGGCAGAAATTCAAGATTGCTTCTTCGAGATATAACAGTCTCAATAATTGATACAAACTTATAGCAATTATGATTATTGAAGTACATATCCAGTAGTCTAAATCGTTACATATGTATAAAAGAACGAAACAGTTCACTGAAATAGTTATTTAATGTGTATAAAAAATCTATTAAACGAACTATTGTAAAGTTAAAAGTTATATATAAATTAAAATTTGAAAAAAAAACGTAATCTTGAAATATATAACGGCATAATCCTACCTGAACAATATGTATAAAACGATCATTTTTGTCCTGCGTTACAGATTGAGCTTATTAGTCGGCAAGTACGAATCGAATGCGACGGCGTTGCGACTCGCACTTTCGTTTAGTGATCGCGCGATTGAGGCGTACGACGTTCTAGTCGCTCTTCTGGAGAGCGAAATTGCGCTTTCCACCGAGAGAAACAGCGTGACAATCGATAATAGAAGGGCGGCCGAAAACGTTGCTTATCATGTGCTAAATAGACTCGAAAATGACTGTACTAACACGCTGGGGGCTCCATGGGAAGACAGCATGGTCTTATCGGACGAGTAGGTATTTTTCGCCGTGTGTATTGTGTGCAATTTTTATCACAAACACCTTCCCGATAGATCGGAAATAACATGGAACGTGGAGGACGAGCAACGACTCAGGAGGCACATCGGTAGACTGAAGGGAGAACGTACAATGGTCAGATCGACGGCGGTCGAACTGGAAAGTGTACACGCAGAACCCCTGAACTCGAAGAACACCATCTCTCTAGCGGAGGCCAGGAAACTCGACTTAGAAACTGCCGTGCTCATGCAGGTCGATATCCAATTAAGAGGATTAAAAACTCGAGAACAATTTTTTGAGATAACATTTTTTTAATAAAAAATAATACAGGTTTTTTTTTTATATCCAAATAAAATTTGAAAAGAAAAAAGTTCAATATTACAAATTTATTTAATAAGGATATATTTTTAGGAACTAATGGCCATGCGAGAAGACAAGGCTGAGTTACGTGCCAGAGTGTTCCTTCTGGAGAAGGAACGTGCTACGATAGAATTGAAACTAAATGCGCGCGACACGCAAATCGCAGCCCAGCACGCTACCATACAGCACCTCCAGGGTCAGCTGAGTGACGCGGAAGCTATGCTCGCGATGGCAACAAACAAGGTATCGCGTATCATTTTTACTAGTATGTCGATCTCTTTCTGTACCTTGCTAATTGAAAGTGTATTAGGACCGCGGTTTAAGTGACAATGAAAGCGAGGGAATGGAGTCTGAATTGATCGAAGCGCTAGGCAGGGAGGCGAGACTGAAGGAACGTCTGCAGGAATTGATCTCAACCTTGGACGAAGTTAACAAGAATTCCGAACTCAGGCATCAACAGTCTGCCGAACTCGTCAACGACTTGAAAAGAGCTAATGGGTAATTATTATTTATTGCAGCAAATTTGCATCCTGTACGTACATACAAATGGTAGATGAAATGTCATATCATTTGGATTATATATAATACATTTATGTATTCTTAATAAAATTAATCTTTAAACTACAGCTATGGGGAAATTATACATAAGTTCTAAAATGTTCTGTTTTAAATACCGAATGCAAATGAACTTCTTCCTTAATAGAAAAAGGTTTAAAGATTTTTTCCTTACTTTTTAGTTTAGGACATCATAGATATAATAATACAGGTATAGATTATATCAATTGTCTAATTTTCATTTCGAGTCTAAATGACCCATTATTGTAGTCGAAGATTAATTATTATCAAAGTCTGAAAATTGAATGAGTAAACAGTATGATATTTCGCGTTTCGCTCTATACTTGTGATAAACATTAAATTTTCTTCACTCTCCTTAGAGCACTAGTCCAAACTCTAGAGAAATCCAAGAAGAAATATCAGTCTAGACTGAAGAAGTTGGAGCAACAGATGCTAGGGATGGTAGAGAGACATGCTGCGCAGGTATGATTAAGTGTACAATGGCTGTGAAAAGTTTCCAGCAGATGAGTATTTTCATTGCAAATAAAGATCTAGTATACAAATACTTAATATATTCCAGTACTTAAAATCATGTTTTTAAGTTGATCGTAATAAGAAGTTTATTAACTCAATACACTGAAGAATAGATTATTACAAGAATTATTAGAAAATTATGTTAGCTGGAAACATTTGACAGCTATTACAGATGAAGTTATCAATCATTCGTTCATAAAAACAACAATAATTTATTACACTATATACATTCTTCTGTAGTACTATTTCTTCTGCAGTTCCTCCCGCCTCTCTTTTAGTTTCTGTTCGACAAGGTCCTCTAGATCATCAAGCGGTTTGTAGATATTATGAACCCACTGCGAACCAGCCAGCATTGTAGCTAACGCTACTCCACAGAACACAATGAACCGTGATGTGGACATGTTAGACGACATCGTGTGATATCCTAATAGTGCGGAAATTGTCTTTTCAAGCCTGTTCCAGTTTTAGTCTTTGTTCCACTAACTCTTCTATCTTTCGACGCTTATACACTTTGTAGAAGTTAACCTCTCCCACATGCAAATTGACCATGGAATATTCCAAAGCAGCTCCTAACATGAAGAATAACGGCAGTAATCGGTACTCGCCGAGCGCTTTTCCTGGCAGTTTGTTATATAACCTCCACAATTTTAGTTTGTAAGATAACATTGAAATAGTTTAAATTTCATTCAGCGAACCGGGTATACAACCATTCTCTTCTCTCTCTGTTAGCCGACTGTCGCCATATTGGATCATTCCTGATGAGCATGCGTAGTAAGGCCAGTAGGGGGCGTTTCATTTGACTTGATATTCGCAATCTTTGCAACGTGAAATTATCTTTTCTTCTCATTGTTCATCAAATATTGAACAAAGATAAATAATGTTTCGCAAGAATTATGAGCCCCAAATGGAACACATCCTGAATAAGCGATGATGTGTCGCACTCTCGTTAGAAGACACAAATAAAAAATTTTTAATTCTTTAGGAGAAAACAAAATTGCATATTTTAAAATTAATTATGTTAATATATTATGCTAATAATATTAAGGAATAAATTTCAAAAAATTACATGAATATAAATTATTTAGATTTTATTTTATATTTCAAATATAATAATAAACTAAAATAATATATCTGCGCTTTTTCTACTATAACGTGTTTTAAAATAATTTACATTAACAAACAGATCATGATCATCCGACATATCAGATATACAATTGCAATTGCATCACTTAAATTAATTTTCTTAAATTAATCCTTCCTTGCAGGTGAAAACATTGAAACAACGAATAGCTCTACTAGAAGAAGAATCGATGGGCTACAAGGGAAGTATGGCATTGCAGTCTCAAAGTTCTGGCGCTAGCGAAACATCTTTATGACAGTTGAGTGATTAAATGGCAAAAATAATGCAAGCTTAGTAACCCAATAATTATTTGTAACATCTATCCTGTCATCGCGAGAGGACATGATTGAACACAAAAATGGAAATTGAAGTCACACACGTATTTTTTTACACCGAATAGTCGAAAGTAAAGGCGCTTAGCTATTCGCTTTGTAATTATATCATGATATATATTGCTGCTGTTCTAAATAAAATAAATAAATAAAAAGAAATTCAGCTAGGCCTACGCAATGTGTGCAATTGTGTCGATACACGAAACAATACAAACAGCCTATTATAAAACAGATCCTTCAGCACGTCGTAAATTACAAATAATTAATTAGTAGTGTATCGCGCTAACGATAATCGTTGTGTACATATGTATATTGTAAAAGCATAAACCACAAGTGTGATATGTGTAAACTATAATGAAATAAACTCTGCTTTATTATAGATATATCCCATGACGTGTCCATGAATGCTCTTTGTGGATATGATATCCATTGTTAAAAATCTGTGTATAAATTATTTATTTTTATTTATATACATAAAAGTTCATATTACACTAAAAATCCTGATTCTCCTGTTGCTGCATCTGTAATGCCATAGTCTCCGTTGCATTGTTACCTGGCACATCGGGTCCTTCCACCGCCGGTACATCATTAATCTCCACAGCTTCTTTATTCAAAAATACCCTTTGCATCTCCTCTTCTAAGTGTACGCAAACCTGCTCGATCTCGTAGTTTTTCGACACCAAACTGACCCATTGTGCTTCAAGAGCTCTCAGTTTGTCGCCTCCTTGAGTCTGCATTGATTTCCTTTGCCAATTGACTTCCTGGATCTTTTTCCTCAGCGTCTGCAGCTGTTTCTGAGCATGACCTAGCAGCTGAACCAGCACTTCCAAGTAGGACTTCCATGCTTCGCAACCATAATCCATCATCAATTCCAAATTACAGATTCTACAATAGTACAATAGTACAGAACAAAAGGAATAGTATAATATAAAAATCTGAGATAGTAAATGATAACGTCGATAAGTCCTAAATTGTATTGTACATAACTGATTTGGACGCTCACATATTTTTTCTTTTTCTTCTTAAATTTTCTTAACATCAATATAAATTGTAGTCATTTCTCATCAGGATTGTGTAATAATTAGCAAGTTAAAAATTAAAAGTTGAAAAATTTATAACTTTTAACTTAATTACTTTTAAACTTTCATTTATTAATATTTTTCTTTTTAAGTGAAAGTTTTTTTGTCCCTCTAAGTGCTAATATTATTTTCTATGAAATCTTAAGCATTAAAGAATAAGTTTAGAAAAAGCTTAATGATTATGTGATAGGCGCAATATTCATATTATTAAAAAATGAATGTGAGTTAATTTACATTTAGGAAACGCTATCAATACTATTGAATTGTGCTATCTTTGTATTACTAATAAAAAAAAAACATTTATTCATATAGAATTTTTAAAGAACAAATTTTATTGTTTTGGTGTGAACACTCAAAAGTCAAACAGAATAACTAAAAATAGTGTTTACAAATACATCAGCATCCAAACCATTTTAAACCAAATGTAACAAAAATTGTTTACCTAGTAGCTTGATGCTCCAATTGCGCGCTACTATTCTCCACACTCTCGTTCCATGCAGTTAAATCATTTAACTTGCCAGATGGAGGTGGTGGCAATTCGTAACGTTTCATACTTAGCACTTCCATCGGCAAGCGATTCTGCATTCTCTCGAATTCGTGCTTCAATACATCTGTCTCGAAAGCAGTTATGCACAAAGGTTGCAGATGTTCCAAATAATTTTTCGTAGGCCTGTAACGTCGTGTCTCTTCCTCCACCATCGCCAACGCCTAGGAAACAACATTAAATCCCAAATATTTCGTGAAATAAAGGAGATTTACTAGGATTTTTCTTAATATAACAGCACTTTTGGTGCATAACCTGTTACGTTACTATTATTTTATTAGATTGCAAAAAAATGAATGTAATTCTTACTCACCGCTTCTCGTACGCCCGGCTCATCATATCCTTGATCAATATATGGCAGTGCGTCAACAATCACTTCACCTGCCATAATATATTAAATAAAAATGATTCTCAGTAAACTAAATTTCTGTAAACAAATTATACAACTATCAAACGTTACATCAAAGAGTATAATATATAAAGAGAGTAACCTGTTTAAGGTGTTCAAATTATTTCAATAGATGGCATTGCAATCATTTAAGCTTAAAGCTCTGCGCACAATAGAGAAAATATTGGAATTTTAACTTATTAGAAACCGGATATTCCGGTGTAACTGGTATCTGATAGGCTGAAATTTCAGGCCCAGTTTCACAACTCACGATTAACTCTTAATGCCCATTTCCATCAATGCAGATTAACTTTAATCTCGGTTCAATTTGCTCTTCGTCTTTTTCTAATTTTAAAAATTAGAAAAATATTAACAGTAAGTTAAACCGAGATTAAAGTTAATCGGAATTGGTGAAAGTGGCTCTTAAATCAAGATTCAAACTTATTTCTCATCTCTTTCCAACTCTAGAATTGGAAAGAGATAAGGAATCAGTTAAACTCGTAGTTGTGAAACTGGAGGCCGCCGGTTTCGCCAACGCCAATTACTTACGTTCATTTCCACCAATGTAAATCAACTATATAATCTCAGTTTATCTTTTTCTAATCCTAAAAATTAGAAAAAAAAAATGAGTAAATTAAATTGAGATTACAGTTAAAAAAAAACTTACATTGATGGAACTGGATATTAATCGGTATCAATTGCATTTGCTGTGTAGTAGAATTAACCAATTACAGTTGACAGTTGTATAGATTAGGGTTAATCAAGCTGTTCTGTTTTTAATATTTGTTTTATTGTGCGCATCCTAAAAGGCCTCCCGGTATATTCATCAATGACGTGTTGCACATCAACGCGTGTCGTCGTGCGAATTTGAGGTGCGATTTTCTCAATCTGCTTGATACTTCGGAGAACGGAAAGAACCGAAAGACAACTGCTTTTCTCGGTGTAATCGAAAAAATAACAGATTGAGTTGATAAGGGAAAAGATTCTTTCATGCACGCACAAATAAGCACGGGTATATTATAATAACATAATACGTTTATTCATTGATTTTTGCATATACTTTGACAAATCAAACGAAGTGCGCTCTCTTCTGTCAAATCGATTTTTTCTTGCGCTGTCTCGCCTCTATTTATTTGGGACTGTGCCGAATGCAATACCTAGCGTTCCAGTGACTTCTAATTTTTGATTATTTGCGTGGGATTTCTTCATTTTTTTTGGATAAACAATTCTAAACTCATTTCTTAGACGAAAAACTTAGTCGGATTCGTTCGTTTTTTCTTTCCTCGGATTTGTCACTTAACCTCCATTTCGAATTTGCGTTGAATTGCATTGGAATTGTTTGTTGATGAATAATAGAGAATGAGGTGCCATAAATTGATAATTTTTTCACCATGTTCTTGCGTTTGCAATGCTGAAAAAACAATGACTTTTGTACTTTTGCAGTTCTGATGCATTGCTGTCAGTGCCAATGATATGTCACTTTGAAGGTTGAGTGTGGTCTGCTGTATGTGTAGATAAAAGTATAAGCCCCACGATGTGGTCCTTCTTCTCGAGAGATCCTGCCAAGGATTTCCCGTACGACATCGGGGAGCCTGTTTCTGGTTTGGATAACAAAAGCATTTGGACAATACACAGGGCTAAAAGAAAGGTAATTCAATTATGGATGCGAGAATGACACTACAGAAGCACTAAAGGTTAATCTATAATGTATTTTTGCTTCCTGTTTCTTAATTTTTACTTCTTGTTTTTTCTTTGCAACTATTTTATCAATATATACAAGTTTGTCAACTTTAAAGCCTAATCTATAATATTCTCTTTATTGTTTATTTTTACTATTTTTTACCTCTGGCTTTTAGCCTCTTCTCTTTATTTTTTATTACATAAGATAGAAATTGATTTTGAAAAAGACAAGAAATAGAAAGCAAGGAGCACATTATAGATTAGCTTCGAATAAAAACATCATTCTATCTTTTTTGACATTCAATATGTAACAAGGACAGATGACATTTGAGTTCAACTTGTATCACCAAATGAAAAGCATCCAAATGTTATAGTTTGTCACTTTGTAATTTACAAAAGGTGACGAATTAATAATGGCAAGAATTTATTTTTTTTCTAATTGATAAAAATATTGTTTTTATCCTTGTAAGATCTTCCACAGGGTACCACAACAGGTGAGGATGTTTCAGTTTTTGTCTTTGATGTTAAAAATGGTGGAGAACAACAACTAGATATTGCTCGTTCGGCTGTGAAAAGACTCAAGACGCTCAGACATCCAAGTATACTTGCATATCTTGATAGTCTCGAGGTATGAATTATATTGGCTTACAGTAGTGGTATATTTTTTGTGTAAAAATGTAATTTGTGTTTTATTACTTCAGACTGACAAAATGGTTTACTTGGCCACAGAGCGTGTAGAACCATTGTACAACCGCTTGACACAAAAGTGCAATTCAGAAAATGAGTCTAAGAAGGAATTATACTACTCTTGGGGCATATTTCAAATCACAGTATGTATAAAAGAAATATCATAGGTCATGTCAGAGAATTCGACACATGAGAAAGATCTATAATACATGTTACTTCGATTTGATGGCAGAGGGCACTTAACTTCTTAAATAACGATGGGAATTTACGACATAATAATGTCAATCTGTGGACAGTGTTTGTTAATGAAGAGAGCGGAGAATGGAAACTTGGTGGGGTTGAATACATGACAGCTGTGGACACGCCATACAATTTCTTACCTTCTATTTTCCAAGTATATCAACCACCAGAAGCTAAAGAAAGTTCAAAGCCTGCAACTAAATGGTAAATAATGATATTTAACAATAGGTGCTTTCCAGCAAGAGAGATTATACAATGAAACACAGTGAATCACTATGTCTTCGTTGTTTGCCAATGTTAGACAAAGATAAAATTACTGTATTACCTGCATTCCAAATTTACTGCCAGCGCTGAAAGTCTCTTTAATTTACATTATGTGCATTATAGATTTTTAGTACTAATAGTCAATTTTGAAACAGCAATTTTTGCTAGTAGATATAATTGAAATAATATAATATGGTAGAAGTTTACAAAAAACACATTTGAATGTAATATTTGCAATATAAAACTAATAAATAAATAAATAATAGTTCAGTTGACATGTGGGGACTTGGTTGTCTGATATGGGAAACGTACAATGGCACCCTCAATACCACTTCGCAACTTAAAATCACAGGTCAAGTAAGTTGTCCATTTGTTTCATGTTTCGTTTTTTTTTATCGAACTGTAATCTCCTACATCTTTATGCATGTATACTTTTTTATTGTTGAAGATTCCGAAGCAAATAACGACAGTATATCGAGAATTGACGGGAGCTAATCCAGACGGAAGACCAAATCCCGCAGACGTGATAGCGCGTTGTCGCAGTAACGGTGGTTTTTTTAAGAACAATCTTGTTGATGCTCTTTTATTTCTGGAAGAGATCCAGATGAAGGAAAGAGGAGAGAAAGGACGATTCTTTTCGCAATTGGCGACACAATTGGACTCGTTTCCTGATGGCGTTGGCAGGTACAAAATTCTGCCGCAGTTACTGGCTGCTTTCGAATTTGGGGACGCCGGAAGTGCCGTATTACCGCCGTTGCTGCAACTGGGTTCTCAGTTACCAGACGCCGAGTATCAACGTCGAGTGGTGCCCTGTGTCGTTAAATTATTCGCATCAAATGACAGAGCGACGAGATTACGATTGCTGCAACAATTAGACCGATTCGTCGACCACTTGCAATCAGCTACTGTTAATGAAGCCATTTTTCCTCAGGTAAAAGAGCTCTATTGGATATTATATTTTATCTATTATTTTAAACAAAAACTGAAATTATTTTATATATGTTAAATGTGTATTTTTTGTAGGTAGCAAGGGGCTTTCTTGATACAAACCCGGCAATCAGGGAAGAAACGATAAGATCAGTCGTACATTTAGCACCAAAGTTAGATTATAATAATCTTAATGTCGAGACTTTAAGATACTTTGCGAAACTTCAGTCGAAAGACGAACAAGGCGGTATTCGCACAAATACCACAGTTTGCCTTGGAAAAATTGCTCAACATCTTCACCCTCAGATAAGACAGAAGGTATCGTCAACCCTTTTTGTTTAATTTTTTAACACAATATTCTTGTATTTTTTAATAGACATCTGCTTCTCTCATACATTTTTTTTTTAGATTTTTATTGATCAGGATAAACCCTTTACATGTATTTTAAATCATACCCTCTATTTTTTTAAAATCAATATTTACAAGAAACGATAAACCAATTTATAATTTAATAAATATCACAATTTATCATGTGTTTATGAAATATTATTAAATCAGTTAATAAAAATAATTTTAGGTATTAATTGGCGCGTTTATTCGTGGAACTCGCGATTCTTTTCCTCCGGCCAGAATTGCGAGTATACTAGCTCTAGCCGCTACGCAGCAATATTTCCTTCTGCAAGAAGTCGCAAATCGCATTTTACCGGCTTTATGTCCGCTTACCACGGATGTGGATAAGGGTGTACGAGACAATGCATTCCGTATCATTCGAGGTTTTTTATCAAAGCTTGAGACAGTTTCCGAAGATCCTGGTCTTCGCGAATCAATGGGTGAGCATTGCATACAATACTAGGATTTCACAATACATACTTCACGGCTATTTTTCGAAAATACTTTGAAAGAAAAAAAAAAAATTAAATTTTAATGTTACTAAAATATTTGCAGAGGCGGACGTGAATACTGCAACACCTAGTCTCAGCAATGCCGCGGCGACATGGGCCGGATGGGCCGTTACGGCAGTCACAGCAAAATTCTATCGTAGTCAGTCAGATACACCAAAATCATCAAATGCTCATAGCACATCTAGAATCTTGTTAAATAAACCTGCTTCCTTAGGTTAGCATTAATCCTCTTTACTTTTATGCTCGTAGACATTTTTTTGCTCTATCTAATAACTTGTTTAGTAATACATTTATTCCCTTATGTATTATTATATTAATATGTTTTTATTTAATTATTTTAGAACAAGCTAGCAGCTCCCAGAGTAGCGCTAGCACTACTGCCACGACGAGCAGCGCGACAAGCATGACTTCCCTCGATCCCGATCACGAGCACGATACGCAAAACACTCAAAATACAAATTCCGATTGCGATTGGGATTGTTGGGATGCCGATAACTGGGGAGATATGGAGCAACAATCCACCGCTACGTCATCGGTGCCATTGAATCCAGCCAGTAGTATATCACCGTCCGGCCACTCCCCTAAAGCTAATGAACAGTGGACCAGCCTTGAGGAAGAACCGGTTTGTTTACTTGGAATTTTATGACATTTTTATGCTACACACAATCAAGGTTCTTATATCCTATCAAACCTGATATGTTAATGCGAGCTATACGAACGTATAGAGGCATAAATTTTAACAATAAGTTTAGAATAACAAAATTCTCTTCGATTAATCTAAGAGCCCATTTTTTGTTTAATAAAAATATTTCAGTGCATTAACATTATTTAAATTATAAGCGATTGAAGAAAATAAAGAGTGAATGTTAGGCTAAAAATATAGTTTTGTTGTAAAATTTAGATAAGTAAATATTTAATATTAAATATTAAGTAAAAATAATGTTGCCAATTTTTGTTAAAGAGAAATTGATTCTGAATTTAATATTACTGCAATATGCAAATTTTGGAATATCTCTATATGCACATGAATACACAAACATGAATAGATAACGAGAATAATTAATTCGAACAGTCGGATAATTTGATATCGTCATCAGAAAAAAACATTCGGATTATAGGAGGAAGAAGCAACCCAAGGTGTTCAAGACAAAAATGATTCTTCCGAAGTTGGATGGGAAGATTCGGAGTTTCAGTCTCTCGAAGATATTCAGCCCTTAGAGCAACCAAGTATATCTAACTTAATTTCTGAATATACTCAAATTTCGTTTTATTATAGTTTTATTATATGATATTGAGTAAATTTTCTTTTATATAGGCGTTCCTAGTGGAAATAGTAAATACGAAGAAGCCAGAAGGAAGAGAGAAGAGCGCAAATTGGCCAGGCAAAGGCAAATGGAGGCAAAACGAGCAGTGAAATTACGAGCTAATCCAGCTGCGAAAAAGATTTAAGTAAATCAAGTAAACGCGCCGTATGTTAATCATTCTATTGTACATTAAACAAATTAAATATTGCAAGTAATATGATGAAAGTATTTTCTGTAAATCTTATCTAATGTATAAGAAAGAGGTTCATCCAAAAACATTTTCTACAATATTATTTATTAACATTATATGCATGAAAAAATATACATATATATGTGTTAAGTAAAAGTTAATTATTTTATTTAACAATTATTTTTTACAACCTATATATACAGTCTCTAATGTAATGCGACAGTATATTTTATATATAGGATCCATTTTTCCAAATTGCACGAATATGCACGCGCGTGCATGCAAACGATTGTTTGTTTTTACATATTAACATACTTATGTTAATATGTAAAAAATGTAAAATAATTATAATATAAAATAATTTATTTTAGTTCATACAAATGTTAATACGAGTTCTCTTATACACAAAAAAGCATCAATTTTTAAAATAAATTTTTTTAGTAATGAGATTCTCTTCATAGAGAGAACAAATTACAAGGAATATTTGTTATCTATCTCTTTTAAACTTAATATAATTCAGGTTGTAATATTTCAGTTCGGTTTTTTCATATGTATGCTGTACTGTGGATAAGTACTTGATTGCCGATACATACAGATAAAGCAACGATAAATCAGTTACTATAAATGAGATTGTTCAGTGGCATTTTCACCATGGAAGCGCATATTGAGATAATTGGCATTATTAGTTTCCTTTTTGAAGCCTATGTTCTCGTAGAATGGCACCAGACGATCTACGCAGTCCAAGGATAATTTGTAACAGCGAAAATAACGGGCTAATTGCACTACGATCGAAACTACTAATTTTCCCAATGATTTCCCTCTGTAATTATTGTTAACCACTACGTCTTCCAGGCGTCCTCGCTATAAAAAATATACACATATAGGATTATTTATTTCTATTTTTTGAAGAATGTGCGGAATTACGTACCAAGCTACAATTATGAATAAATTTCTGCTCTACAACTAAAGACGCGCATGCTATCACTTTTCCAGAATTTACATCTTCGATGACGACAACATAGTAACCACCAGCGGTCTTCATGCTATAGAATCTATCTAAATAGAGAACAAAGAAAGTATAATTAGTTTAGTTTGGTTATTTACAGAATCTAATCTCCAATTATAAAAACTTACTTAAAAATTGTTCCTTGGTGACATTTCCAACATCTGTCAATTGTGATAGAAGGACTAAAAAACCTACAAGATTTCATAAATAATTGAATTATTCACAAAAAAAAATTGAACAGGTCCTCTGTATAATGGAAAAAAAATTAGGAACAAGAATAAATACAATATTAAACATTAGACTAAGAAAATTATAAATAGCAATTAAAAAATTAATAAACATACAAATAAAATATAATGTATAATATACCTTATATCTCACAGCGCATTATGTTTAATCTCTATTCTTATTTATTTACTTGTCTAAATTTTTATTCTTTTTTTAGTTTTAATATTTATTCCTGTTTTTAATATTTCTTCCATTGTGTGCAGGGCCATTATAATATTATTATATAAAATATACAAATATTTATATAAATGATACATGTTCAGTTAAAAAAATTTACAGTAAATTATTTTTATTCTCCTCCCTCTTTTCTCTCTCTCTCTCTCTCTCTCCCTCTACCCTTCCCCATCCCTTTTGTATCTATAATAGTAATAGAGAATAGATTAAAATTGAATGACATTTTTATGCATATTTTAAGCTTTTAAGTCTATTGAATTCAACTACATAAAAAGTTTTTTTTATTAAATTTAGACTAAAAAATTACATTTTCTATTCAGAAGTTTAAATTGAGCAATATTGACAATGCACAGAAAGAGCAGATATTATTTTAAGAATGAAAGATATAGAAATGTACTTCATACAATTCCTATAAATGAATAAAAATGTATTCGGATTGAAAAGAATTTTTTAACGCGTACGCGAATGCGTATTTCTGAAAATCTGAATGCATTTCAATTCCATTCTCGTGTTTACTGGAGTAGCATACAACATCCAGTTACCTTTGTCGTAATCTGTACTCTTTAGCGGTCTTATAAGTAACCCAGCAACGTGCGATATCGGCAATCTATCCAATATAGTGGGATTGAAGAGATTACTTTCATCCTCATCGACAGATTTTTCCTACACAATCAGAGGAAGCGTTACATTTTCTTTTCTGTTTTCATAACAAAAATATTATTATTATTACGCGGCTTTATATATTTGGTAAAGGTATATATTTTCGTAAATTGACTGTACGGCGTCTCTTCTGTTATCAGCTCTTTAATTTAATAAAGCGGCAAAATTTTTTTTTCTTAAATACACGACTTTATTATTAAAAAATTATTAAAAAATTAGAAAATCGGTGAATCCTATATTACATGCAAGGTCACAGTCTCGCAAGGAAAAAATGCTAACGTATGGCCACTGTACCTGCGTTCTGTTCATGTTTCTTGCACACTCTTTCGCGGCTCACACGTTAACTTGTCAGTGCCTGCACTGTGTGCCTGTGCGTGCCTGTTCACTCATGGTGGAAGGATTTCACCACGCTGTTCACTGCCTGTCACTTCAACCAGCTTTTCTCACCGTGTATCCGTGTGTGGGTCTGTGGTGTTGGTGTGCAAACGACGATTGCACCTGCTCATGAGCAGCTGTTCTGTAGCCAATCAACAAGCTTGAAAAGCCTTATCGACCGACACATGAAATATCGGCCTTAATCGGAGATTCCTTTTAATCAAAGTTCTTGCACGGTTCATTTTTCTTTCTTTTCTTTCCACGTTGAAGAAAAAAGAAAAAAGAATCGTGTAAGAAGTTCAGCTAAAAAGAATAGGTCTCCATTTAATACATTTGTTGTTATGAAATGGCTAACCATAATCATTCTATTATTCAGAATAATAGCTATGATTGGCTAATTTCTAATAATCAATCTATCGTATAAGCGCAATCTAATATTTGGAGTAGACAATCCACGTTGGAAGAAACCTAGGTGTTATTGTGCATATATATTTCTTACAGTCAATCGGAACGCGAAGCCCTACACCCATCATATGGTTATTTGAATTAGGTGTAATTAATAAATCATAAAGTTAGTATTATATTATCAATTTCTTACTCTTAATAACTTAAGTTTTTACAGTGACGCGAATTTCCGCAAAATCAACGATCTTCAATACATAGATATATCTCGTCGATGTTGGAAATAATTCTCATGGATAATTCACAACATGTCACTTCAAAATTACCGCGGAGCAAATGTTTTAATGGCCGTTTGGGAATCTGCGCAGAAGCGTAAGAAATTCTGTCTCAAAATCGAGCTGGGTTTCTTCCAACACGAGAGTTTATACTTTTTTGTTTATGGCGACGCCACATGCAGCCAAGCCACATGATCACGGTCCTACAAATACAAAAACGGAGTAAAGTTACTTCGAAGTAAAAATTAATTAATATTTTGAATAACAATTTTGAATAAAAGTAGTTGTGTGTGGTAATAACTAATATTCATTGTTTACGAAAAAAATTTGAATGATAATATCATGTGAAGGTATCCCTTAAATTCCTTAGAACGTTTGAATAGCGTAATCTATTCTTCAACGTGTTAATATTTTTAACATAAGTACGTAACAATTATGTATAATATAAATTAATGTGAATATAAATGTAATTAACGTTTCTACAATTTATATGATACGCAGGTCAACGATGAGTTACAATAAAAGAAAGATATTTGCGTCGGATACGTCTGATGAAGATGATAGTTTCAATAATCGTCGACGTACTTCTCTGAAAGTCAACTTGAGTCATAGCGAGAATCTAACAGATTCTGGTAATGGTTCTCTCTGGAGAACAGAAATAGAGAATGATAGAGGAAGAATGGACATGCAAACTGTCAAAACATTGTCAAGGAAGAAAAGTATGTATGAGAAGAATCACGAATTTGATTTTGATAACAAAGATATGCGAGCCATAAATTATACGGACAATACTATAGATAATAACAGTGATAATTCCATTCAAATAAACAAAGAAATGCAGCTAAAACATCTTACAATAAATCTAGAGGATGTAAGTACCAAAGAACACTATCTAGAAACAAGTTGCAATCGTTTGAAAGATGCAATCTTATCCAAAACCAAACAGATATTTGACAAAGAGAACGAACTTTCTGTAAAAATTACGAACATATTAGGAAATAAGGAAGATCGTTTTGCAAACAGTATCCATAATCCAAATACTGAAACCGAAACAGTTGTGCTAGACATGACTGACCTGAAAGAGAAAGCAGCCAGGGAACATCAACAATATACTCACAGTGTGAACGATCAGCAAAGAGAGGCTCAATACTCCAATATTGTTGCTACACCAACAAGTAATGCCAGACGGAGAAGTCTCGAGAAAACTGTAGATAAATCTAGATTGACTCAAAGACGATTGTTCATTGAGGAGGACAAACAGGTAGAAGAACAAACAAAATGTAGAATTATCCAAGATGTTATTCTGAAGAAAAACTTTCCATTACACTCTCTAACACAAGCAAATGAAAGCAGCGGCAGTCCTATATTAAGCAGCAGTAACAAAAGACTCAGTTTGCTCAGAAGATCTAAATTGCATTCTCAAAATAAGTTTGAAAACCTGAACAACACATTCTCGACCGTACATTCCATTCAGAGTTTTAACACAGAAACACCTATTGTTTCTTCTACTTTCATTGAGGATAATGTAACAGGTGGAAAAGGAATTACCAATAATGTGGATGCATCTCGTGCCACACACACAACGACTAAAGTAATATCAATGGAGATGACAGAAGTACATGGAGGCATTCATATAAGTGAAAAAAAACGCGTGTCTGTACAAACTAGGAATTCTCCCCCATACATGAATAACTATAACGAAAACAGTAAGAAAGAGCAATCTAAAAAAGAAAGTATAAAGCGAAACAAAACAGGAATTAGAAGTTCGAGATTAGAAGATGTTGGACATTATGTAAACGAAATTACTGCAAGTAATGTATTGCAACCACATGAACACGACGATAAAACTAAATGTCAAAACGAAGAATGCTGTGATATGTCTGCATCTGATAACAGTGACACAATTCGATCATCTTTAAATGTAAATACTTCATTGGATGCTGTGACAGAAACTAGCAAAACAAGGAACTTTCGAAAACCAAGCGAACACAGAATGGACAATGTAAATCAAGATTTCGAAGCTAATAATAAAACATCAATAGTTTTAAATGATCAACGCGAAAGTACAAATACGGTTCGAACTTCGTTGCAAATAAATACATCGGTAGATTCTATGCGCAAAACATGGCGAAGAAGAAGCGATAAGAATGATAAAGATCATTCAAGTATGAATATGGAATGTTCATCAACAGAAAATAAAGAAATGAATGATATAGACTCTTTGGAAAATATTAGTTTAATTGAGAGATTGAGAAATATCTCTATGAGAAATGAAATTTCTCATAAAGATAAATCGAAAGTTTCTAAAACGAAGGATGAAGACAAAAGACGCTCAAGTAACAATGAAAACAGCTACAGTTATGTGGAGGGAACTCCGTATCCAATAAGTCGCTCGGTTTTGTTCAGATCACAATTAAAATATAAAACGAAGCATTTGGATGATAATATCACCTGTGACAGCAATTTAGATTCATTAGAAAATAAAGAAAAAGATGATAAAACTCAATCATTTGCTTTGTAAGTATATAAATGTAAATACAAATCATGTTAAAAATATATACTTTGAAATGTTATTACTATATGATTTACATAGTATTATTTAATAAATTAATACTATTATTATTTATTATTATTTGTATTAGTTATTATTAATATTATTTGTATTAGTTATTAATTAATATTTTTTTTATATTATTAGGCATTCAAAAGTTTTAAATGAAATGCGTATGTCGACTGAAATGCAAAAAACAATAGAAACTAACTCAGTTATTTTGGAAGATACACTTAGCCAGAATCGGCAGAATCCTTTCGTTATTCTAAATCAATTGACGGTCATCGAAAGTACATCCGACGTAACAAAATCTGAAACAGGCGAAAATATAGTTGTACAAAACACGAAATGTACTCCAGTAAAAAGGAACAGAAGAAGATTATTACCACTTACTCAAATTTCTCAATATTCAATCTCTCCGATAGAGGAAAGGAAGTGTATGACACCCGAGAAATCGACGTCTATAAAACTAAACAAACGAATGAAGAAAAAACTTCCAAAAAGAAAATCAATACGTTCCAAGAATATAAATAATATCAAGCATAATACCTCAAGCGCACAAATGCAATCAGATAGTGATTGCGATATGCCTGAAAATGAGATTAAAAAAAATAAGAAAACGCGAAAACCGAAAAAGGTTATCAGCAAGAAGATCTTTATCAAGAAATTTGCCGACGAAAAGGTGTTTAATATATTACAAAATAGACAGAATAAAGACAATAATTCAATAGAAAATAGAGATTCCTTAGATGATTTTGTAGAATGTCGCACAACATCTACTCAATGGAACAAATACAAGTCCCAAAAGATCATCATTGTAACAACCGGATTATCAAAAGAGTAATCATCATAACTTTTCTCTAAGCGCTTCTAATCTTTATTTTTAAATCGGAATAATTTTCGATCTTATTTCACGTCAAAATTGTAATATTTCATATTTTGTGTATAGGGATAAAAGTTTGGTAAAGAGTATCGTCAAATCACTTGGTGCAGCACAGTTGGAGTTGAATGTATCAAGACGGACGACTCACGTTGTGAGTACAGGTGTGCGTACCGTGAATCTTCTCCGTGGTATAATAAGGGGCTGTTGGCTTGTTACTTTAGAGTGGATTCTGAAATCCTTGGAAAACAACGGTTGGCTGAATCCAGAGACGTATGAGATGAAACATTTCTCTAAAGCTGTACAGGTAAGACAACATATACATGAATATAGAATGGAACTACCTTAATTATTCCTTTTATAGCTTAACTTACACTATTTTAACTGACTAACTGAAATGACTAGTCTCGACTTATACTCTACCTACAATACATAACAAATGTAGGATATAAATCTACTCGTATATCATATATAATATAGGTATTTTTGTGTTTTGTGCAGGAAAATCGGAAAGACAGACAATTATTTGGACCCTCATATATCCCAGAATTGTTTGGCGCATGTGGATTCATATACGTTGAGAACAAAACTACATTACCATGTGATAAGCTTAAGGAGCTTATAAAGACTGCAGGCGGGCACATTACCGAGAATACCAAGCTTGCTAAAATTATTATTGGCACAAATGGCCTAAAAGAAACCTGGGTTATAGATTCTATTACAACGGGTGAACTACAATCGACTAAACTTTATCAATGGAGTAATACGAAATAGACTGAAAGTACCTGCTAAATTTCATACAAATTGAAGATTTATATGACTATATTACAAAGTGTGTGTATGACAGACATTGTACATTAAATAATTATTTTTTATCTAATAGTTTACAGAGATTATGAGAAAAATATTTATATTATATTTTCACAATATTAATATATATATATATATATATATATATAGTACTATTATTCATTTATTCATATTATATATTATCAAAAAAAATTATGAAAGAAGTTCATATATAACAAATTAAGTTATTACGTTATAGTTCATTTATACTTCTTTATGTAAAGAATATATAAATAAGGGATGCTCTGAATATATTTAGAAAATATCCGGTATTATCTATTTTTCACTATCTGATCGGATATTCAGTGATTTTTTTTTATGCATCTCTAATATAAAGTATTTAATATTTTAATTTATATAACAACTGTATAAAGCAAGGAGTTATTTTATCAATGAAAGTAAGTTAAGAAACATTAACTATTATAGATATTATATCAGAGAGAGACTGAGAAACATTAATTATAATGTTATAAATATTTTTTTTAGGTATACAATATTATTTATCTCTATCACTACAAATCATACATTACAATCATTTATATACAAATAATATAAGAAATATATGTTATAATTATAGTTTTTATATAATCTTGCTCTAAACTTTAAGATATCTGTCATTCTCAATGTACCTCATTTTATATTTGTTCTGTAACGCAATAAATCCAATAAAAAATTCACACTATTATATATTTTTTATCGAGTTAAAACACACATACTGTAACTGTCTTATCTTACCATAAATTACAAATGCTTGCACTTTGTTTTTTAAAAGATAACATTACCCAAGTGTAAAATGACAAGTAAGTTCAATTAAGATTCATTTGTGTTCTTCCTTGCATGACGAAACGCACACGTGGATGTCTGTTTATGTGCGTGCTGTCGAAATGACGTTTCGCGGTACTATTACGTACAAGGAACGGACTCAGGTTAGGCTGAGTTACATTCGTGGAGTATTTTCGCGTGTGACTAGCAAGCTCTAGCGACACACACGGGATGCGATGCGATGTGTCAAATTAACACGCGTTTGTTAATATGCACCTTCGCATTTATTTAACGGTGCACTGATTCACGCGTCTCGACCGACCATGGATTACACCTACGAAAAATGAGTGACAAAACCGCACTGTAATTGCGTATTACCCTCGTTCCTTTCTTCACGATCACGCACTATCGAAACAATCAGTCGCACTTCGGGCTTCAGCTGCTCTTATCGTGTTTATCTTTCGCATTGTTTGTATAATCGCGATTAGTTTTCGCGTACACGTCGACACGAGCGTAGCGTGAAATTGACAACGATGCTTGAAGCACTTGGTCCGCGCGAGTAAAATAATGGAACAGTACGTTGCACATTTTTTTGCAATTGTATCATATTCTTCAAATAGATTACACATATTTTAATGTACTGCATATTACGTTGCTGCTTATCAAAAGACACGATTTGCCCTATGCATATTGTTGACAACAATAGATGCAATATGTTATTGTCATAGATCGCATTATAACACTTTATTAGAAAATTAAATACTGATTACTATTATATCATTGTTCAATATAATAATAAATATTTATGTATTGCAGCATTACAGTGAGCAGTCCTACTGCAGAAACATGTATTCCATTGCCCAGATCCAATAGAACAATAATCACAGATGTATATGCGGGAATACCTGAGAATCTATTGCTAAATGTCATAGGATTTCTGGTAAGATTTTTACTTAAATTGCAAGATATTGATCTAATTGAACTCTATCGGCAATAAATTAAACTGTAATGTCTAATGCAATATATTATTCTTGACAGCTTTTAGTTATTTTATTTGGCTTATTACGTAAGAAAGCATGGAATTATGGACGTCTTGCACTGTTACACAAATCTGATAATAGATGGATGGAACTATTCTATGGTATTAATGAAAACAGAGACACTGATCCCTTATATGTAGAAGCTTCAGTCAATTCTCAACTCTCTCAGCTGGATAGAGGATTTCTCTCATGGATTATTACCGCTTTTAAAATTACGTCAGTACTCACAATCAAATACACTGAAAACATTATTTGTGTCTTCCTATATTTTAATATATAACTTGTTTTACTCAAAATAATATTGCAGCGACGATGAATTATTACAACGTGCAGGGCCTGATGGATTGTTATATATTATGTTTGAACGTTGCTTAATCATATTGACCTCCATGATGCTTATTGTATCATTGTGCATAGCCCTACCAATAAATTTTCACGGAAGCATGTTACCAGGGGACAGCGCAACATTTAGTCACACAACATTGTCAAATCTGGAGCCCACATCCTTTGGACTTTGGGTGTATACAATACTGCTCTTATCTTATCTGCCAATCGGTGGATTTATTATGAGACGTCGTTTAAAACAGGTATTGTCAATTAATCAGTTATGTATATTGAAAGATATATTTTGTTTTTTTTTTATTTTTAAAAGATGCGAATGTTTTATGTAAGATTACAAGTGAGAATGTGTTTGTGGATACAGGTGCGAGATACTAGGCCCACTGGAGAATTTGTAGCAAGAACATTATTGATTACAGACATACCGAAACAACAATGTACTGTTGAGAAACTTACCGAATATTTTAAGTATGTAGAAAAGAATCTTCTCTAATTATAAATTCTTTTTTGGCAGATAATATTTGTTACTGATATTAAAAGAAATTGAAAAAAAAATTTATTAATCTATTCTTTGACTTTATTTTTATTTGTTATTTTTTTCAGAGAAGCATTTCCTACCTTAACAGTGGAGGATATTACATTGGCTCATGATATAAGACGTCTTTCAAAATTGGATGAAGAAAGAGATTGTGTGGAACAGGCTCGTTTATATTGCGAAAGTTATGCTAAGAAGAGAGACCCTTTGAAAATGTATCCTTATCCGTGTGGTCAAATTCTTGGATATTGTTGTAACAAGGTAAATATATCAATAAAATAAGATATGGACATATATGAGTATAAATTTAATTACTTTATATACGTTCGACTGATAATCTTCAAGTTAATTGTAAGATTAATTAAATTTTTTCGCACTGTCAACAGCGTTCGACTCTTTATTGCCTGTTATTTATGATTGTTAATTTGTTTTGAACAAAAAGAGTATAACTAGTGTATATATTATTATTAAGATTTTTTTATATACGTATAATGTAAGTTCTTATTTTTAATTCAAATCATTGTATTTATAGCAAGTGGATGCTCAGGAATTTTATATCAACGAGGAAATACGACTAACAGCACTAGTTGAAGAAGAAAAGAATGTGGCACTTAGTAAAACTCTTGGAGTTGCTTTTGTAACTTTAGGTATTTTCATACAATATTACATAACGTTTTCTTTAATTATAAGAAAATTCACAATAAATAATTAATAGGGACACCCGGTGCTGCTAAAACTATGCGCAAACAGTTGAGGTCCTCACCGAATATAAAGTGGATCGTGGATTATGCACCGATGCCATCAGATATATTTTGGGAAAATTTAAGCATTCCCAGGCCATGTTGGTATCTAAATGCTGTATTAATAAATTGCGCTTTGGGGCTTATATTGTTTTTCCTTACTACACCAGCTGTAAGTAAATTTCATTCAACAAGAGTACATTATTATACAATGAAAATTATATCAAAAAGAAAAAGACGCACTTAATATACATATAGTAAAGAAACTGACCCTTATAGCATTTTGAAACAATAAATATTTTATTTTAATCTTCGATATTTTAATCTCTTTCCTTTATTTTTATTTAAATGTTTAAAAATTTATTTTTTAGAAATTATTTTAATTTATTTTAACTTATTTTTTGAATTTTAGGTCATAGTGACAAATATTACCAAATTGCCAATTACTGGCGAAATTGAGATTCTTAGTCCAGTACTTTCATCTTTTCTGCCTACTGTATTGTTGGTCAGTGTAGCTGCTCTAATGCCTGCATTAGTCGGAAGAAGCGAATCACTCGTGAGACATTGGACAAGAAGCAGTTTAAATCGTGTTGTTATGAGGAAAACGTTACTTCTGTTGCTACTAATGGTGCTTATATTACCTAGTTTAGGATTAACTAGTGCTGCAGCATTTCTAGATTGGACCGTGAATGACCGAAATAATACGGCAAAATGGGAATGCGTATTCTTGCCAGATCAGGTAAGATTTCTAACAGTAAAAAAATCCACATTTATTTTAAGTTAATTCAGTAAGAAAGCATAATCTTTCTCCTTCATACTTCAATATTCATATAAAATTTGCAGGGCGCACTTTTTGTAAATTATGTCATAACTGCGGCCTTGCTTGGGAGTGGATTAGAATTGGTTAGATTTCCGGAACTCGCGCTATACACTTTCAGGCTCTGTACAGCTCGTAGTCGAGCGGAAAGAATACACGTTAGAAAAGCGGTACTATGGGAATTTCCATTAGGAGCTCATTATGCGTGGTTGTTGCTAGTTTTTACTATGACAACTGTCTACAGTCTAGCGTGTCCCTTAATCACTCTTTTTGGTCTACTACATTTAGTGGTCAAACATCTGGTAAAATAACTTCATTTAACAATATCTTATAATTGTGATCCACCTATAATGTGTCCACCTAATTGTGTTCATCTAATGAAAATATCATTTTAATTAGGTGGACAGGCATAATTTATGCTTTGCATATGGACCAAGCATTGGCGGTGGCCAATTAGCTGGAGCGGCAGTTGGTGCTGCAGGAGCTGCGCCAGTTTTAGCGCAAGCTGCTCTTTTAGCCTTAGGCCTGGTAAGAGTTGGTCTGTCTTCATTAGCTGCGGTGCAACTCACTGGCCTTTGTGCGAGTATTCTAGGCCTGGTAACCGGCGCTACATTACCGTTATCGAAACCTAAGGTATTATAGTTTAAATAGCTTAACTGGAAATCCTTCTGTTGAAAATTTCATTCGAAGTTGTAAATTGTACTGTGTCACTATTAACAAGAAAGTTGTTTTGCGAATTTAAGAGTTTTATATAATAATTTATATTCCGTGTGTGTGTGATAAAATATTTATACTCCAACAAAATCTCCTTTTTAAAAAAATGTATATGACTTTAGGGTATTATTAATTCTTAATTATTTTTATTATAGACTTCAGTACCAAAAAGGGATCTCTCGACGGGTCAAAATTTCGTGGCACCAGTATTGCGAAAGAATCAGATATCCATAGAAGAAACTATTTCAACTGCTTCAAATTCAGAAATAAACTTACCAAGTCCGACAAGTACCACTTCCTCTGTACAAGAAAGTCCAAAGCTTTACCAAAACTACGGCGGTGAACAGAGAGTTTAATACCTGTTTTATGTGTGTATGGATGTATGTATGTGTGTACGCGTGTGTATTATATATATATACATATATATATAATATTCAATATATATATATATATATATGCAAGATTACAGAATGCTTCGTAATTTGTGTAAAAAGTTACTCATTTAGAAATGTATTTTAATTGTTAATATTAATGAGCTGATGCAATTTAAGGAAAATGCAGCACAAATCATATATATTCTTTACGTTTCTTATATCATGTTAAGTTAGCACAGACATAATTAAAAGAAATTGGAAAATACTATTTTAACATCACTGTCTACTTACATTTATAATTGTATTTATAAATTTTTCACTGAATAAGTGCTTAATTGTGATGTATATATAAAAATAATTACATATTTAATATAATTTTAAATATAATTTTCATTTACTTACATAATAATTAGATATGTTAAGAATTATAAATGAAACTTAAGGGCTTGCACTAAGTAATAGTTACTTAAAAAGAATCTCATTTCAGATTTCTTAAAAAAGTGAATAAGTAGATCTATCTTATCATTTCAAATCTAGCAGTACAAAAATATGAAATGTCTACACTTAATAAATTTTAATATTACAACTGTATTATAGTGTTATGTTATAACTTTAAAACAGTAAGCTTATATATGGTATATAATTTTCTTTGTAATTAATAAAGTGCAATAATTTTAATTTTCTTACAACGAATATAATATGATTATTCTTATACACAAAAATCCTGAATAATCTTTATGTACATATCAACTTCATATTTATTATCAAATTAATCACAATAATTATCCAGTTTTTAATGATTTGGTAGATCTATTTTTAACTATTTTTAATAGTAATGCAATGATTGCTATACACAGAAAATATAGTTAAGCAGGATATTTTATTTTCATTCTAAGAATTATGTGAAAGAACGCACTTTATAATATTTTATGCATTTTCATCTTGTTTATACATATAAAGGGAAGTGATATAGCATATAATACGAGTATATATGTATATATCATAAATTTTTCGGCATATAAATATACACATAAAAGATAAGATTCAGATTTCAATATCAACTACTTGGTCTAATTAATGTATGATCATAATCTTTTTAAAGTTTTATCCATTTTTTGAAGGTAAATATAATAGTTACAGATAAATATGTACAATATCTTAAATAATTATAAATCATGATTATAATATAATTATCTACTTTGGATTTGTGTTCTAACTTCATAAACTCAAGAAATTAACTGAAAATACATAATTTTTATACAAGATGTTTTAATAAATTACCTAATTATAATTTGTCACGGAATTAAAATTTAAGTATTAAATAAACTTAAGTATTAAATAAATTTTGTTTATACATTTTTTTCTCTTATATTACTATATGCTATATATTACAGATCGATTATCTTCTCTTCTCTCCATAAAATATTATATCTTACCCAAGAAAAATCAATTTTATAAAACGGATAATGGAAAAATTTACACGTTTCAACAAAATGTCATTGAGGAATTCCATGAGTCTTACAATAAATATGATTAAATTAGAATTTTGTTTTTTTTTCTCAAGGCACTAATCATCACGTTTAATTTTATGATAATACATATTTTCAATGTAATTACGTAAAATATACATATTTTTCTAATTATTTTTAAGATTATAAATTATATATTTTAATAAAGGAAGTATACTTTAGTATATTCAAATTTTAATATCTTATATACAATTATATATATTATAAATGTATATAAATTATTTAATAAATCATGTATAAGTTATACTCATATTTAATTTGTATATAATAATGTATAATTATAAACACAAAAAAACATTAACTATGTGTGTATAACAGGGAATTTCATTGAATGGCAGAGAAATTCATTCATGGAGAGAGATTAACACCAATTATAGCTTCCAGTTGACTAGATGTAAGATTACTTAACTCCTTCGCTTGATTTACTTTCTTCAATGATTTATGAAATGTTTCTTTTGTTCTTGAACTTTCATCACATGACATAAATTTAGTCTCGAGATTGTTTTCTTCCTCTTCCTTCTGAGATTCTTCACTCTCTTCGCTGCTTAGATGAACCTGTGAGGCAACATTGTTGCTTAAGACGATCTCTATGTGAGGAATACAATGCTAATTTATAAAATAGTTGTGTGAATAACAAATACTTCAAAAATGTATACTAAAAGTATATTACGAATATATATGAAATATATATAAAAAAACGCACACGCATACACACATATCTTTAGTTTCTAAATTAAAGAGATCTTAATAAATACAATTCAAGTTTTAAAACATTAACTCATAGCAATTCACAGGACTACTCAAATCATTAAATTATATTACATTTATGTCTTGCAAGGAAATAAAAGAGGCTACCAAGTTTTTTCTTTCTTTTGCTCTCAGAAAAATATTAATAAAAATTAAAGTATAAGTGTTATATATTTAAAAAATTTATAATACGTATTTAACAATTATTATGTATAAATGTTCTATTTATATTTATAGCAATTAAATATGATAAAGACTAGAGATAAAGAGTAGAGAATGATATTAAAATTTGCATAATATTTTCGAAATATTTCTTGTACAATTATTGCAATTACTCACCATATCGTTTTGAAGTTAATAAATAACAATAAAAATTCTGAAAACTAATCAAAACACCGATACATTTGCTTGTTAACTGTTGTTATTATTATTGATAAGAAATCCATTCATCTAGTGAAAATGTATTCTCATTCAAAAATATAAAACTAAATATTTATTTTCTATGATGTATACTACTGTCAATTTAAAGGGATGGGGATTTTGGGAGTAATGAAAAATAATTAAAAAAAAAAAGATTTCAGTTTTTTTCTTTGTTTTTTCGGAACATATATGCTACTTTCCAATATTACAACATAATTTTCATTATTTTACAACATTACAACAATAATCGTTGTTTTCCTATTTCTATATATATATATATAATAGCCGCGATATAAATTCACAAATAAAACTTTGATATATAATATAGTTAAGATGATCATTCAAAAAGTATTATCTTTATTACGTACTCTTTTGATTATCCTTTACATGTCAAGCTACTTGGCACACTTTTGTATCGATTTAATGTAAAATAATGTAAATTTCCATGATAAAATAAACAAGAGTGGCTTCTTTGGTAAATTATAAAGATGCATTTACTTGTTTACTTACTTACATTCTTCCCTAGCCTCTATCAAAATTTATCATTGATCTTTTCATATTATTTCAATATAAAATTATTGATTTTATAAATTATAATTTTCAAAATAAAAATTTTTTTATAAAATTCTGCCACCACCAAAGTAATTATATAACCGATTTAATTGTGCTCAAATAATATGTGTACAAATAAAGAATATTTAAAACACTAACTGCATTGCAAATACATATTTCACATCTATATGTGAAATGTGATATCTTTACATAAAATTGTGTTGATATGCAAAAATTTGCGAAGCGATTGTCATATTTGACATATTTACTAATGACACACATAGAAAGGTTTCATCTCACCTCTACGATAGAAACCCTTGGTGATGGTTCTCGCGTTGCAATTTTTTCCATTACAATCGGACTAGTGGAACTTGTCGAAGAATATTCTTTATCTGTCTCGTTATCCGAATATTCTTTCTCATCTTCAATAGGTTTCTGTGTATCCATATTTTCATGAGACTTGCACATGAAGCCCTTGTCATCCTCCCGTTCAAATAAATTACCATCCAGATGGACTAAAAACATAAGTAATATAAGATTATACATTAATATAATTGTCATAATGTTACAGTGTATAAAAAGTTCTTTTAATAACTGTGTTTTGATCATTTTAAAGATGAGTTTTTTTTTAGTAAAAATATCGAAAGAAACATCATAAACTTCCCACTTTTAACATCGTAAATTCTTGTATTTAAGTTTTAATTTAAAATTCTTTTATTTTCCTTTATATAGTTTAATTTTTATAGAAATTACCTTGACAAAAGGCAGTGCTACAAAATGAACAATGTGCTGATGTTCGACGTCCACATTCTGAGCAAAAATGCCACGGACAAGAGAATTTCGAGTCTGTTGATTCATCGATTATTACGCACGTTTGATGATACTTTTTGTTACAAGTCTTTTGTGAGCAGATTACAAATTCGTTGTTGTCAAATGATATTTCTTGTCCACATCGCCAACATTTATGCTTTCTCCATCTAAAGTAAAAATAATGAAATTTGTTATTAATTGCATAAACATTACGATAAGACAATAAGTTTATTAAGTAATAAAATACAATTATGTACGTACCGTTTATATCGTTTCGGCTTGTCAATTTTTTTTAATTGCACAGTTGATTGTGCTACTGGCGTTTGTTGTTTCTGTGCTACTGGCATTTGTTGTTTCAGTCCTACTGGTGTTTGTTGTTTCTGTACTACTGGGATTTGTTGTTTCTGTGCCTTTAATCCAATAAAACCACTACAATTTGATGCACCGCATAGACACGCTTTTCGTGTTTCTCCATCAGATGCTAAATTGTAGTTAAATGTTAGCTCTTCTCCAGATTCTATATCGCGCAAAGCGAATAGACCTATACGAGTGTCTCCATTCACTGTCCACTTCTGCGTTTCGCAGTTTGGAGCACATGAATGATCTATAAATAACAATATAATTACTTTTCAAGATCACGGATTCGAATATCCGTAATATACTTACTCATAAATCGACTCAGATTTCCTTTTGGTTCAGCATCAATCGTTCTATTGTTGTCTATTGTCAGGAAGTAGAAATTCTCATTTTTCAGTTCTTTCTTCCGATGTAATCTACGCTTATATTCAGCATCGTCTATAATTTCTCCTACATACTCAATGACAAATTGTCCCGTTTTAACATCCTCCAAAGTCCTCAAGCCCCAGCCGCGACCCACGGTATGAAATGGCTCCATTGCCGGATACTGTCGCAGTACAAACGACTGATTCATACATTTAGCTCCAGCTGGACAGATTCCAGGACTGCATTCAACCATTAGTATACGATTTAGACAATCCGTGTTAGGTGCACAAGGATTATCCCATTCAGGATCACATTCACATGCCACAATGCTTTCGACTTCGGTTGGCTTGACGTTACCCACTGGTTTATTGACCTATTATATGTCTATTTTCATTAAGGCCTCTAACTTCTCATTGCAGTCATTCATCAAATTACAATAAATTAACAAGTCACGAGTAATTTGTTTATTTTTCTGATTGCAATGATGACACAGTAACAGATAATTAAAAAAAGAAAATTATGTAAAGCCGATTCTAGATCAAGCAAAGGAATGCAAATGAGCGCGAGTATATCTATGATTGAATAAATGTGAACGATTCCACGAATACAAACCCCAAAAAATACTAATGATGATTTACTTTAATGAATAATCTGTAAGTATTTTCATTAAAGCAAGTTGTTTATTCGCATTTATTCGCACTTGCTTATTTAATTTTGTTTCAAAGAAAAAGTACTTATTACGCTCGTTCGTCCTTGCTAGCTTAGTTTAATGCAAAAACTTAATATAAATCGTACTTTTAATTTTACATATGGTGGTGGTTTCAGTCCTTTTGGTTCTTTAGTCATGGAACGTCTTGCTTTTAATTGCTGATGTATTTTATTGGCTTCTTCAAGAGCTATTCGATATGTATCGTCCATCATAGTTTTTTTACCTATAGGTGGTTTCGTAGTTGCATCACCATCTTGATACAAAAAGGCTCGACCTCTATAAGATTTATTAAATTAGAAAAAGATAAATATTTATTAATGACTATTTTATATAAAAGATAATATTTCTATTTACCTATGTACCCAATAATAATCGTTAGATCCCAAAAACATTACGCAAAATTTACCAGGACTGTGAGATTTGGCCTCTACATTTTCAGGAATTTCATGTGGGTAGCATATACGAGATGGCCACCACCGATAATGGCCGAGTTTCACCCATACAACTTCCCCATACAGAGGTAATCTTCCTGTTTCACAATCTTCACATATAAATCCGCCATCTGGTGCATTTATACCTAAATTACCAAGAATATGGGAATAGTTTATTTGCAAATATTGTACTTTGTATAAATTGTAATGTTTTAATAAAATTACCTAAACATTCCAAGTGAAAGGAAGTTGGACACGTATCACAACAAATAAGACTACCACCACGTGTACATAGGAAACACCATGCTGCATTTAATGGAGGATGTGGTGCTTTGTAATGTTTTGGGCATATAATTTGACTGGCCGTCAGAATTACTGAACCAGCAGGCAGACATAATGTTGATGCATGATAAGATGAAGGACAACGAACACACCTCGCCATTTTTTCGTTCGGGGCACGAGAACGTTTATCTTGAGGATTATCAGAACTGCAGGTGTGGCATACATGGTATGGACATGTCAAACGTCCACCTTGCCAATGTGACTAAAATATAATATTTATCAATATTAGAAAAAAATAATATTAAAATTTTAAAATAATATTAAGATCCAAATATTATATTTTACTTGTGGCCACGATATCAAGCAATTAGAATGATAATGTTTTCCACAAGCTGGGACAATACATCTTATTCTATCCCCTTCCCTCTCATTGCATAGGAAACATGCAGGTGCTACGCCAGATAAACAATCAATACATTTGAATGTCTCGTCCTCTTGCTCATCAGATTTATCTAAATTCAAGTAATATTACGATTATGCTGTTATTAGGTTAATCTTAAAAAAATTTGTTTTTCATTAATGTAAGTCATACAAAAAAAATTTTTTTATAATCTGATATACATATTCATAGATATATATATTTTCATAATTACCATTATTTTCACTTTCATCATTAATACTTTTCTTAATTATGTTTAAATCACTAAGTAATCTGTCATCCAATGTGTTCTCGTCAACAGAATATTCTGGACTAGATTCGCCAGGTTTAACACATGATAAATGAAAATAAGAATAACAAGGCCCTTTACATCTCGTTAACTTGCCTGTCTTCTCACAAATCTGACAAACTTTTTCTTGTTTCATACCTTTAAAGAGATTATACAATCTACTTCGTTTTATTTCCGAAACAGAATTTTCTTCCTTGTCAATTTTACTTTTCGTCTTTTTGTTTTCCTTTATATTTGTATCAATTTCTATTGTTTCATCTTCATCTGGAGAACTCTCTTTCGAACTTTCGTTTGTCGTGTTTAATCTAAGTTTTTTTCGACATTCCCTGTCCTTATTTCTCGTCCTTTTATTTTCCTTTATAGTTGTATCAATCTCTATAATCTCATCTTCATCCAGAGAGCTTTCTTTCGACAGTGAATGAGAACTTTCAGTTGTCATATGCAATCCGAGTTTTTTTCGATATTCTATATCCATATTATCCCAAGTTTTCCGCAAATATCTTTTAATATCGCTTTTAGGCATATCTGGATATTCATTTTCTAACAAATTTTTATTATCTTCATAATAAAGTTTGAATATACTCTCTTCATCTTCCTCGTTTTTAAAATATTTGCTCGTACTTTCGAAAGAACTTTTATGACTTGCAGGAGATGAAGGCAAAGAATCCGAATTTAATTTCGAATCAATTTTTCCATTTGCAATTCGTGAATTTTTCTTTGACAATTCCGATTTATGTAACTTTGATACTTCCGGCTTTTGTGTATCATATACCTGTAGAAACAAAGATAAACATTTTTATTGCATATAAAATCATTAAATTAAATTTATAAAAAATATGAACAATTATTTTCAATATTACATTTTCCTGCTTAGGACGTTTGACATCAGGTTCAGTTTGCTCCGTTTCCAAGCTCAGTCTTGAATATCTCCTCTTTTTACTTTTTTCATCAACGGTATACACTTTAGACTTCCGAACTTTAAGTTTTACCGTAAAAATCGCAATTCTCTCCTCACTTGATAATAATTGTGTTTGTGTAGCTTCTTCGACAGCATTTTGCCACTTTTTTTTTATTCCTGGTTTTACAACAAAAGCAGCAACATACTTGGGATCCTTTTTCTTTGTTTCTGTCGTTAATGATTCTGCTAATTTCAGGAAATCAGCAAGGCCCGTGAATTGTATCATACAATTTGCTGAAACCCAGCTATGACGGCCTTTGTCCCCAAAATAATGAACATGCATCATCATGATCACTGACTTACCTCTAACTGTAACACAAAATAGTTGAAATGTTTTCCAATATTTTAAATTCATTAATAAATTTTCTAAAAAATATATAAATATATCTTATATAATGTATATATATATATACAATATATATATATTATATATATATTATACATTTCTATTAAACATAACTATTACTATATTACTGATTAAATTATATGAGAAAAATATTTATAATTTCAGATTCTCATATTTATTCATATTTAGGCCCAATAGCATCAAGTCAATTATCTTGACTTCAAACAAAGCTTAATTCTCTTTTTCTCATTTGACCTTAAAGAATTTTAAGCCTTGCTTAAAGAAATGACAGTGCTTTCTCGAGTCAGCAAGATAATTCCTTAATAAAGACATAACTTTGATGAAAAATACATATAAATGGACTTGAAAATTTACCTCTCAGTTTATAATATATTCTTTCTGATGTATCAACTGTGACCATACAGGGCCAAAATGGGAAATTACCTACTCTTGCCCAAGCCAACTGTCCTACCATCCATGAACATTCAATATTAGGATTATTTAATTTCGGAGATGAAATCTCTTCTATGTTATTTAACATAGATGAATTGCTAACTTCATCTACATTATCTGTATTAATTTCTTCTAGGCTTTCATCTATGTTATCATCGACAGAACTAATTAGTTGCCTATGTGTTCTTGGTTTATAATTCTGTAAAATTATAAGAATAATAAACATTATATAAGTATGATGAATTACAAGCTTCAAATTACTTGAAAAAATGATAGATCTTAGACTAAACATAATTTACTTATATTTAATATAGAAAAAAAACTTTCATAAAAAAATTGTATGTACAAATTAAAAAATATATTTAAGATCAAGTCTCATGAATATGCATACTTCGATTGAGTTAATATATAGTCAATAACAATATCCTAACATTAAGATAGGATTACATTTGTACATTTTTGTTGTACAAATTTTTCAAGCCTGCTACTTGATTATAGGATAGAGAGATCCAAGAATCTCTCTGTCGAAAATCCTTCTGTCTTGCAACCTTTGTCATATGACAAAATGGGATAAATGAAATAGTATCTTTACATAAATGTTTCATTAAACAGAGAAGCGTCTAAAATAAACGGAATATACCTGTACAATGTCCATAGCATTGTGAATGGTTGACCTGGGTCTTATTGTTCTACCATAACGGCTTTTACTTGGAGTACAGCCATTACAATCATCTTGTGAAGCCTCACGATCATTACAAGCATCCTCGCTCGTCGAGGCTCTGGTCTCGTTGGTTTCCGCTTGGGATGTGGCGTGATCCGGCACAGACGCCTTCCTAAACTCTGTATTAATATCTGTATTCATGACTCCGGCTTTTAGCACAGCATCCTCAGTCTTATTGCGATCAGCTAAATGCGAATGATGCAAGCGCAACAACTTCTGTAACGACGGTTGCCCGCAAGAGTCGTTGAACGCCAGTCAACGCCAGCGATAAAGGCTCAGGTATCGAAAACAATTTTTACTACCGCTGAGCGCCACAGCGGCGGGCCTCGTGTTTCGAGGGGTTCTACCTTTCTCACGTTCAACCGGGTCTATTTCATCCGGGCGACAACCGTTGGCTTCTACACCGCGAGGACTTTCACGCTGTCCCAATTTCTATTCTGTGGATTGTCCCAATTGTTGTGATAATAATGAACAGCGGAAGTACCTCGCGTACCTCCTGAAGCAGGACGCGTTTCCCGCGATTTTGGGCAATTCTCATAGTCGCGTTGTCGTCACGACACTGTCACAGTATAACAGTATGTGACACTGTCGTACTCTGTAAAGCTACGGACGACCAATGTACTCGCACGCTTTCTTTACCGACCGCGTCGGTTTTCGTCCACTGTGTAATTAGGGGTGCGGTTTACCTGACATATAATATTTATAGTCCATTCTTATTTCATCATCTTAGTGTCATTAGATACTAATTCGATTCTGTGATTGACTTATATCTTAGGACAGTATGTATGTACTTACTAATATAACGATCGATTATGAATACCGATCAATTTGATTGCAGACCAATCAGAAGAAAGAATTTTACATCTAATTGACCAATCAAACAATACTTCGAAGCCTAGCATTTGGAGTATCAAGTAACTACATATAGTCTATAAAAAAAATTTTTTGTGCTATAAGTTCAATAATGAGACAAATATTATAATAAAAGCATTGTGTCATTCAAGATTTTTAGATGGCAGGTGAGTTTATTTTATAATATTATATCTCATTAACATATCAAATTTTGTTTGTTTGTATATTTTTTCTCTTCTTTTTTTCTATCTAATATATATTTAATTATCTACTTTATTTTTATAAAAAATTAAACAGTTTAGAAACGCAAAAAGAAGTCTAGTTACGAAAATGTATTTGACTGTGTTAG